TTCCTATAAATAATATGTGAAAGAAATCTTAAAAACAATTTTAAATAATGTTGTTAGTATTAAAAAATATATAAAAATAATTTAGGATATGCAAAATTTATATTAAAATTATAAATATTTTAATGTTATATATTTTTTATTGACAACTCTTAAATTATTATTAATAGAACTGATATCTGAAATATAAATTTAATAAAAATTATGATTGATGTCAAATTAAACAAATTATAAAATTGTGTGTTGGACATGACTACAAAAGCTTATTTTGGAAAGTTGACTTTTAGTCACTTTTTTTTGATTTGTAGTAAAAGTTAAAAGTTGGCTTTTTTGAATTTTTTTTTATTTGGGAAGGTGGTTTTTAGCCAAGGGTAAAATTATAATTTTACCCCTCATGAGTCAAAATAGGCTACATGGGTGAAGTTGTAATATTTTAAACTAAATAAGGGTAGTTTGGTCATTTGATTATGATTTGACATCATAAATAAATATTAATCAAAAAAGTCAAAAGTCACTTTTTACCAACTTCTCAAATCATTTGTCTAAAAAAGCCAAACATTTGTTTATGTACAAATTTTCCTTGTTTTTTCTTGTCTTTTTATTTTATTACATTTTTAACATAATAAATTTTTTGAAAATATTGATTCAGATACTTAAACAGTATGACAACTAACCGTACAATATCATAATCAAACAGTTTGGACTTTTCATCCAAGTAATCCACTTGGGTCGTATCACCAATCAAACCTCCTTTTATTTTGACCTTTTGTCGCGGACCATATCGAACATGTCAAATGGTAGATTTCAATCTCATCCTATTACACTTCTACTTCGATCATCATGAAAAAAAAAGAAAAAAAAAAAAAGAAAAGAAAGAAAGGGAAAATTGCAATTTTCTTATCCATAATTATAATGACTGACTAGTAAATATTTTAGGCCCACCATATATATACAAGTGTAGTGATTCTGAATCTAGTCACTGTAGTTGGACCATATGGTAGAAAGAAATTGGTCCTCCCAAAATTAATACCCATATAAAGGTAAAGGAATATAACATCAAATATAGAAATGTGAATCTTCATGATATCACTGCCATAATATCTCATGTATGTTAGTGTGATTTGCTCATCAAGTTGCCAAAACAGTAACAAAATCTCTAACAAAATAAATTTGTCAAACTCCACCCCCTCACTTCTTGTCTCCATGCATTCAATCGACCCATCCCTACAAAGCAATACAACAGATTTTTTAACTTTAGCAGATTGATGTGTATTTTACGGCGAATTGCACTAAAAGTCCCTATAATTTAAGGTTGGCATTACTTTGATACCTAATTTTTTAATTGTGACATATTTGATCATGAATTTTGAATTTTATTTCAAATAAAGACAATTGAATATACCATTACTCAATTTCAAAGATAAAGTCGTTAATTTGATAAAATATAATTGACAAATCTTTTACACATTTATTTATTTATTTTTTTACCAAATTAGTTTTTATTATGTGTTTGGATGATGATAATGTAATGGGTAATTATTTTTATTTTCATTGAATTAGTTTCTATTTTTTCAAAAATCAAATATGACGACAATTTTGATATCATTATTAAACTAATCCATTAAATAAAAAAAACTAAAATTAAAAATATTTCACATATTAAATATATCGATTACACATCAAAAGCCTAACAATCACTCATCATATGATCATCATCTAAACACATAATAAAAATTAATTTAGTAAAACAAATAAATAAATGTGTAAAAGATTTGTCAATTATATTTTATCAAATTAACGACTTTATCTTTGAAATTGAGTAATGGTATATTCAATTGTCCTTATTTGAAATAAAATTCAAAATTCATGATCAAATATGTCACAATTAAAAAATTAGGTATCAAAGTAATGCCAACCTTAAATTATAGGGACTTTTAGTGCAATTCGCCGTAAAATACACATCAATCTGCTAAAGTTAAAAAATTTGTTGTATTGCTTTGTAGGGATGGGTCGATTGAATGCATGGAGACAAGAAGTGAGGGGGTGGAGTTTGACAAATTTATTTTGTTAGAGATTTTGTTACTGTTTTGGCAACTTGATGAGCAAATCACACTAACATACATGAGATATTATGGCAGTGATATCATGAAGATTCACATTTCTATATTTGATGTTATATTCCTTTACCTTTATATGGGTATTAATTTTGGGAGGACCAATTTCTTTCTACCATATGGTCCAACTACAGTGACTAGATTCAGAATCACTACACTTGTATATATATGGTGGGCCTAAAATATTTACTAGTCAGTCATTATAATTATGGATAAGAAAATTGCAATTTTCCCTTTCTTTCTTTTCTTTTTTTTTTTTTCTTTTTTTTTCATGATGATCGAACTAGAAGTGTAATAGGATGAGATTGAAATCTACCATTTGACATGTTCGATATGGTCCGCGACAAAAGGTCAAAATAAAAGGAGGTTTGATTGGTGATACGACCCAAGTGGATTACTTGGATGAAAAGTCCAAACTGTTTGATTATGATATTGTACGGTTAGTTGTCATACTGTTTAAGTATCTGAATCAATATTTTCAAAAAATTTATTATGTTAAAAATGTAATAAAATAAAAAGACAAGAAAAAACAAGGAAAATTTGTACATAAATAAATGTATATTTTGAAAAGAAAAAATTAATTAGTGATAAATTTTATCAATTTTCATAATTATAATTATAATTTTTTTCATGAATTGGTAATTATTTTCTTAAACCATGACTGAATTGTAATTTTTCCTATAAATAATATGTGAAAGAAATCTTAAAAACAATTTTAAATAATGTTGTTAGTATTAAAAAATATATAAAAATAATTTAGGATATGCAAAATTTATATTAAAATTATAAATATTTTAATGTTATATATTTTTTATTGACAACTCTTAAATTATTATTAATAGAACTGATATCTGAAATATAAATTTAATAAAAAATTATGATTGATGTCAAATTAAACAAATTATAAAATTGTGTGTTGGACATGACTACAAAATGTGAAACTATTGCTATGGATTGTCCAAATCCAAAGACCGAGAAACAGTGAATGTTTCTTGATGTTTGATATCTAAACCTAGCTAGCTTGAAAGAGGACAATTAAGCATGACTCATTTGATGGGTCATTAAAAGGACAATTGGCTGGACTGTAAGAGAGATTGACGAGGACAATGAATAATGACCATTCGATCACAATCGATCATAGCAAATTCATATTAAAATATTGAAAAATGTCATAAATATGAGATGTGAGAGTTAAGATAATGAAAGTTACATGAGTTTAGATTATGTTTAATCAAGCAATATTGTTGATGCAATGTGTCAAGATGTTAGTATCACTTACTATTGTTAAAAGGGTATTTTTGTCTTTCAATACTTCTTGACACCACATTTTATTGTTTAGTAATCAATATTTTGGTAAATGAGATTTATCATTTTGTTAAATCAATCATGTGTTATTGAAATTGAGTTTAAAACATATAGGTTACATAATTTGATGGCCAAAGTACAAAGAGATTATTGAGGTGAAGATTGTTTTGTCTCAATTTTTAAAGATTAGGAATACATCTATAAATAATTAACTTATTCACTTTATCAAACGAATTAATAGATTAAGATTGACATCAGATCAATCGTGCCAGGCTCACAAGTGAGGAACATTACCCTAACCATCATCTCTCCCTATCTTATCTTTGTTGGCCTTATGCTTCACCCACGATGATCTACATCTCTAACTAATCATCAACAATATCTGCGCAGTATAACAAAATTAACTTTTTATAGCATGCAATAAATGCTATTATAAGTAAATTATAGCATTTGTTGAAATGTTATGTTAGTCCATATAGGGCTGCACACTGGTCGGTTCGGATCAGGTTAACCTATTAACCGGTAGTCGACCAAACACATTCGGATTGAAAGAATTAATATCCGATTTCGACCGGGTGATGATTCGAAACCGTCCGTTCATAGGAATCGGATTGACGGCCGAATTCGGTCGGTTTCACGGGTTGGGTTGTATCAATAAAATTTTTTAGGCCAAACCATAACTGGGCCAAACCATTAGCAATTTTATTATGAAAATAGACATTTTTCATGAATTTTAATTTATTACCAAGTTAAAATATTAGTAATTTTAAAAATAGACAACTTTACAATTAAAAGTATAATTAGCAAAAAATATTAAATTTATAATTTTACAATTCTAAAATCAATTCCACCAATTCAATAAATAAATATGTTGATGAATAAAAAAATATGAATAAAAACAGTAGTTTCGACCTTAAAGAATTATTTGTTAACCAAACAAACAATAAATTCCACACAATAGTATGAATAAAAAATAATTAACTACGAAATTTCATACACCACTTACTACCTGTTTTGAACCCAATTATGTCAAGAAGAGTAGTAGTTTCAAACCTTTTACAAACAGACAAATAAACAAACAAAAAAATTACAAACTTCTAAGTTCCAATTAACAAACAAAATAAGCAATTCAAGGTCAACTATCAACTTTTCTGATTGGCAACATCATCAAGATAACCTATCAACTAATGATGTTCATAGCCAAAAAAAATATATAACTATACTTAGCAACTGTCAAAATATTCCCTACTTCCATACTTGTCACTCCAGTTGGTAGCCAAAAAGCTTCAAAAAAATAACCAACCAGAAGTTCGTAATTTTGTTTATTGATTACATTCATCCAACTATAGAACTGAAGCAATATTAATACAAAACTTAGTAGAATATGAACAGCTTGGATAGGAAGGATGGACAAAAAATACACAAAAATAACCATCAGCAAACGGTCTGCCAAAGCAAAAAGGTATTATCAACAGTATTATCAACAGATATCAACCACCTGCAAGGAAAAACAATTTGATAAATAAGTAAACATAAATAAAAGGAAACAACATAGTATAAAATTAAAAAAGACTTTAGTTTATTACCAAGCTATGCTCCATTGCCATGCTAAACAGTTATGGGACTTGAACTTAAGTTTGAGGATGAACTTGATTCTTGAAAAATCACAAAATAAAACAAGTCAATAATAAAAATAGATGATTAAATCAAAAGATAAACAAAATTAACAAATCAATTTTATACTCAAAATTACCTGAGGCATACTGCTCAAATTCTAAAACATCATCCATTGCCTTGCGAAGAGAGATTGGCACAGTGCTTTGAAGCCAATTCTGAGTACAGACAAGTACCTCAACCATCATAGGAGAAAGAGAACTTCAAAAAGGATCAAGAATGCGTCCACCGGTACTAAATGCAGACTCCGAAGCCACTGTTGAAATCGGCATTGCCAATACATCACGAGCTACTTGGGACAACACTCGATACTTAAAAGAATTAGCTTTCCACCACCCCAAAATTTCAAATTTTTCATCTCTCACTCCTTCACAACAATCAGCCAAATACTTGTCCACTTCAGACTTGCACATAACAGAAAATTCAGCATCCAAATAGGTATTAAATTGAGATTCAATCAACAAATGAGGATCATCACAATCATCATCAATCACAATCCTAGATGGTTCATTTGTGTCAAGTACTCCCACAAAATTTGAATCATTTGCAAGGTAATGGTCATACAAACGAGTCAAATAATCTTTCACTTGACCAGTCATTGTATTGACTACACTTTCACCAAACAATTGGGAAAAGCAAAACTGGACATACCTCAATTTTTTTCGTGGATCAAGAACCACAGCAACATACATCAACAGATTTATTTTATCTCCATTACCCCAATATTTGTCAAATTTTGCTTTCATTCCTTTTGCCATTAAACCCAGCAATTCATCTTCCCTCCCATCTTTTTTACTTAATTGCTCAATTTTTGTTAGAATAACAAACATCTCATCAAAAAAACAATTAGAAGTCACATAAAGGGAGCCTGAAAACCTTTTAGTAGCATTGTAGAAAAGCCTTAAGAATTTTAAAAATAGTCTACAATTGTCCTAGTCACCCTCTGTTGGAGCACCCCATGACTTCTTCTTTTTACCACTTCCATCCTCCCCATCGCCCTCTAAAAAGTAAGATCGATAATTTGAGTCCTTCTCCTCTAAACGCTCAATTACTTTCTCAAATTTTTTAGCACTCTCCAACATCAAATAAGTTGAATTCCACCTAGTAGGTACATCAAGACATAACAAAGACTTGGACTCAATTTGACACATCTCCACACACTTCTTAAAAGATTCATGCCTATTTGGAGACGACCTCACATATCTCACAACATCACGCACACAACAAATTGAAGTATCCAACTCTTTCAAGCCCTCACCAACAATGAGATTCAAAATATGCGCACAACAACGCATATGTACGAACTCATGACCCAAAATAGTGCCCTTCCAATCTTTTGTTTTTCTTTTCAAGAATTTTATGGCTTTGTTGTTAGAACTCGCATTATCAACAGTCAAAGTAAAAACACTACCAAGGTTCCTTCAAGTAAACACAACTCAATCCTCTTACCAACAATTTCACCTTTATGATCCTCAACTTGACAGAAATTTAAAATCCTTTTTTGCAAATTCCAATCATCATCAATAAAATGAGCCGTAAGACACATGTAATTAAGATTTTGTATGGATGTCCATGTATCAATTGTAAGACAAACTCTACGACCCTTCAAAAAATTTCTTAACTTAGTCCTCTCAGTGTTAAAAATTGCAACTACATCTTTAGCAACAGTGGTACGAGATGGAATCATGGTAAACTTTGGTTGTAAAGCATTGCAAAACCTACGAAAACCAACCCCTTCAACAAATCTAAAAGGCAATTCATCAAGAATGATCATTTCAGCTAGAGCTTTCCTAGCACCTTCCACTGTAAAAGAAGTTGCCACTAGACCGACACCATCTCCATCTTTTTTGCTTTGAAAAGACAATGTATGTTGACTCTTTTCTTGTTCTCTATAAGGATACTTTAAACAACTAGCCACATGACTCAATAAATCACTAGTCCCATGAGACTTTGACTCAGCCATGTATTCTTTTTGACAATACTTACATACAGCCCGTGTTTTCCCATCTTCCTCATTTTTAATTTTATCAAAATGATCCCATGCTCTTGATGGTTTCCTACCACTACCTTTTCGTCGTGCCTTACCCTTCTCATTAGGTGGTAATGGAGGCTTATCAGAAAGAAGAGGTCCAGTGGTATTACCTTCAACAGGTTGGGCACTACCAGCGGCTGTTTCAGTAGGTTGGGCACTAATTGTGACTGTTTCATTAGGTTGGGCACCAATAGTGGTTGTTTCAGTAGGAGAATGATCCATTATTTAGACACAAAATACAACAATAAATATATTACATAATATACATAAACAAATCAAACATGCTAATAAATTCCAATTTTGTAAACAGTTAGTTAACAAACTATTTTCTAAAAAATGATCAATACAAAAACAAAGAGCATTATGCATTCTTTTTTCTTTTTTTTTTTTTTTGAACAGAAAAGCATTATGCATTCTAATATGGTACCATTATTATAGGATCCAAAAATATAAATAAAAGCATGCTTACTTAATGAAAAAAAATAAAAAATAAAAAGCTTGCAATTTTTAAAATAATAGCAAACAAACAAATATTAAAAAATAAAAAAATAAAAAAACATACACTTTAACTTTAAGCTTGTAATTTTAAAAAAAAAAAAGAAAAGAAAGAACATACACTTCATTCTTACTGAGTATATTTAAGCATTCATTTTTTTTTTTTTGTCGTTTTTCCATTTTAGCTTCTTTTAAGAAAAATAAGTTACTTAAAAATCTTTTTTACATGTAGGGATTTTGTTAACTTGAAACAAACTAAATAAAATGACAAAATAAATCTAAGGTTTTTGGTGATCAGAAAAAAAATAAAATAAAACAAAATAAAAAATACTGGAACAAATATATTTGGAGCATTCAAAAACATGAATGATCCATTATCTAGAGCATAATATACATCAACTAATCAAACATGATAATAAATTTTCATTTTCAAAACAGTTAATACAATGATTTATTGAAAAACTAACAAACATTTTAAAGTACCAAAGAATAAAAAAACACACATGAGAGCATTCAGATTTTTTTTCATTTAGCTTCTTTGAAACAAAAACAATGACTTAAAACAAGGGTTTTTGTTAATAAATAAATAAAATCCATGTATGGATTATGTTAGTTAGTCTACAAAAAATTAAATATATATATATACATTAAATCTAGTGTTTTTGTTAAAACAAAATTTAAAAATACGAAATCCATGTAGGATTTCAGTTATTCAAGAAACAATTGACTATAAACACAATATCGATTAAGGGTTGCAATGAATCAAAAACAGTTTAAACAAATAAACTCATACCTAAGGCTTTGGTTAGTAAGAGAGCACCACCACCAGCATCTCTGATTTGAAGGATAGATAAAACACCTCAAAGAGTATCAAAGAGAGAGAGATTGGAAAGAGATGGAAGTTGAGAATGTGTGATCAAAGCTGTAAAAAGATATGTAATGAGGGAAGAGATTGGTTTACGTTATAGAGAGAGAGAGAGTGAGAGAGTGAAATATGGGAAAGAGAGAAATATGGGGAAGAGGAGAGGGGAGGAGTTGATATGATATGATAGGTCTGCTGGACAACTCTTTTTGCTTTGAAAGTTGAAAATTGAAATACATCATCATCATAGAAAGCTTCCACGAGAAGCTTTGGACTTCTCCCAATAATAAAACAATTATACAAATATAAAAAAATGTGACAGCTGCATAAAAATTCGGTCGGGTCGGTTTCGACCGAAATAATTTACACAAAACCGTTGCCGACCGTGAAACCGCGAAATTCAACCAAACGAAACCGCAGCTGACCGATTGAATATTCGAAACCGTCCGTTTTACTTCGGTTCGGTTCGGTTCGGGCCGAGCGGGTGGGTCGGATTCCGGTTTTTCATGAACACCCCTAGTCCATATTATTAAAAATCTAATCATTTTTTATAACATTCATAAAATGTTATAAATGAATGCTATGAAAAATGTATAATAGTATTCATGGAATGCTATGACATGATATGAAATTATTAAAAAAATATTGTCATAGTAGTTTGTGCATAATATGAAATATCATTTATAGAAATCTAATAATATTATCATATATCAAATTGTAATTGTGGGGATATATTTTCTGAGTACCAATACGTGGCAAGGTGACGCCGACGTGTCAGTCGAGGTCCGTGTCCTGGTCGTGGCGCCGAGGTGATCTCGGCAAGGCCGAGGTTATCTCCGAAGATATCGGAATCCGAGATAAGCGGGTAAAGGACAAGAGTCCTAGAATAAAGAGGGAACTCAACCTAGATATGGACAAGAGTCCTAGATTGGGAGACGACTTCAGTTTGGGTAAAGATAAGACTCTTAGAGAGTTTATCCTAATCTTACTGGGAGTCCAAGATTAGCAATAATCCTGAGTCCATAGAAGTTAGGCTTCTATTGGGACTAGGTTTATGTTGGCTATAAAAGAAAGGCACCCCCATGGGTCTAAGGTATGCTTTTGATACTCAAGCTTGTGAGTTTAGCACTTGATTTATTTTTGAGAGATTTACTGACTTGATCGTCGGAGTGCCTCCGGGTGGACGAACCACCGCCAGAATCTTCTCTTTCTGTTGCAGGTCAGCCAGGTGCCATCTATTCTGCCCGTGCTCTCCAGCTGGTTACTAAGCAGGCAGTGTGATCAGAAAATCACCCACACAATTTGGCGCCGTCTGTGGGAAAAAAAGAATAATAGATGGCCAATGACGGACAGAAGGATCAGATTAGAGACAATGCTCTTGCTGGAGTGGGAGACCTATCGATCTCGACGTTGAAGGACGACCGTAACACAGAAACTCATGACCAGAGTCACGGAGTGAAAGACGCCGGCCAGAAAGGTAACGCACCAAAGACAACAGATCGAAGCGGATACTACAACGAAGATGACCTCCAGGTATAGAAGGATAGATACCTGCGGAGGAACAAAGACCCTTCCAGAAAGGATGCAAAGACAGGGGGGCATGAGCGCTCCCAAGGAGATAACATTCAAGTATAGAAGAGCTCAACCTGAGTGGGCAAATCCCGGATCCCAGATCCCAGAAGACATGATCTCGGCCTAGATGAGTAGGTCCGAGAAAAGAAGAGCTCAACCTGAGTGAGAAGATCCAAGATTCTAGAAGATAAAATCTCGGGACCTGAGTCCGAGAAGAGAAGAGCACAATGAGCAGATCTCAGATCCTAGAAGATAAAAAGGAAACACATAAGATCAGACTAAAGTTGGACAGAATTGAGAAGTATGCTAGGGCCAAGGAGGACATGTCGGGAACAAAGGCGTCAGAACAAGAAAAGAGAAACGGCTCGTCGATGCGAGGCCGAAAATCAAACTCAGGTTGGAGCCAAGTAAGATCAATAGAGAAACCAAGGCCGACAACCTCGGCTTGAATTAAACCTCGACGACAAGGTCGAAGCTACATGTATGATGAAAACCCAAGTGGATTTTAAGTTCACACTGGGGGGCAGAGAGAAAAAGAATGTGTTTAACGCTTGTTGAAATTTGTAGCAATTTACAAGTTGAAGTTAAACCGAAATAATACTTAACGCTTGTTGAAATTTGTAGCAATTTACAAGTTGAAATTAAGCCGAGATAATTGTTTATTTTCACTTGTTGAAATTTGTAGCAATTTACAAGTTGAAGTTAAGTCGAGATAATTGTTTATCTTCACTTGTTGAAATTTGTAGCAATTTACAAGTTGAAGTTAAGCCGATATATATTGTTTAACACTTGTGGAAATTTGTAGCAATTTACAAATAGATCATTGTTTAGCACTTGTTATAACTTAAAGTTTACGAAGTTGAGATTAAACTAGTATATGTTTATCCTTGTTGAAATTTGTAAGCAATTTATAGGACAAGTACTTGCCGAAGTAAAACATCCGGTGGCATAACCGAGGTGTGTCACCCCGAGAAGATTGCAGAAAGAAGGAAAAGTACATAAGATATGCAAAATATTCTAAGTATAGAATCATGCGAGAGCAGTTAGAAGAAGATCAAGACAAAATTCATGGTAATTGACACGCCCTTGCCATACAATATCGTCTTGGGAAGGCCATGGTTGCATACAATGGGGGCAGTTCCCTCAACATTGCACCAACTACTGCGGTTCCCAACAGAACATGGGATTAAAGAAGTCAGAGGGGATCAACTGCAGGCGGAGAATTGCTCCATGGCAGCAATAAAATCCACCTGCAGCATTCGAGAACCAGGGAAGGCAGAGATTGAAAACAAGGACATAGAGGTACTAGATGATGTCGGCAAGGAGCCAGCCGAGAGGAGTGAAGAGGCACTGAAAATCCTCGTCCAGAAGGGAGATG